CAAGCTTCCACACGTGGTCGGAGGGCGGGCACGGTTATACTCAAGGGTTAATTTGCATCCAAAATATCATGTCTGACATAGTCAAAGGAATAAATAATAATAATAATCGTATACATAGGATAAAAATAAACACTTGCCATTTTCAGCGTTGGACTAAAAACATTTTCAACACAGCACTCCTTCGGCGCGGATGTTCGTCAAGGCTAGAGCTGCCCGTCGGCCGGCGCCACGATCGGACTTCCATCTAAGCGGCAGTACACTCATGCCAGCAGTGCCGTTGGGTCAGTAGTCAGGCTTCTTCCGCACACCATCGACCACACCTACACGCTTGTCTGTACGTGGCGTGCGTGCCTGCACACCCAGCAGTAGGAGTGTAGCGGCAGCCAGCTAGCTGCTCGCCCGGCAGTGCGCCACCCACCGCCCGTCAGTTGCACTCGCATGCATGTACGCGCACGGCCGGGCGGCCGGGACAAAGCCGTGCAGGCGCGCGCGCGCATGGACGGCCGGCCGGCGTGACCCGGTCACCACCAGATAGACCCCCCACACGCCAGCTCACTCGCTTACTCAATCCAAACACCCCTCCGCCAGCCGTCGGATCAGCCGAATCGACGGCCTAAGCCCGCACGTTGCCGTCGACGTGTACAGGTCGCAGAATCAAAGCCGCGGGCACGAGGGCGACCGTGCACGCGACCCGTGGGCCCCGCCCGCGCGTGGACCTCGCGACCCCTGCCCCTCCCTCCCCCCGCGCGGCGATATATTTGGCCCTCAGCTACAAGCCATTGCAACCACTCCCGGAGCGGAAGAAAGAGAGAGAGCAGATATCCTATCCCCCCCTAGACTCCAAGGCGAGGGGAAGCGGCCGGAGGGGAAAGCAACAAGCGGGTAGGGTTCGCCGACCGCTCCCCCAAATTCTCCATCGGAATCACGCACCGTTTTTATATATCTTTATTATCGTCGTCGTCCCCGGCCGCTTGCTGTCCGCCGTTTGGTGCCTTGCTCCTGTTGTTTTGAGGGGCTGGGTTTGGTTCCTTTTCCTCCACTCCCCCAGCCCTCCTCGCCCCGCCTTTCCCCAACCCATCCCTCCTTCTCTCTCCCTCTCTCGTGTATGTGCGTGTGTGTGTGGGTGTGTTGGTTTTGAGCAATCTTCTCGCCGGACTCTTCTCCTAGCTTGGCGCGGTGCGTGTCCCTCCTCGTCCTCCGTCTGTCGATTACTTCCTTGCGTGTGCGTGTGTGTTGTGTGAGTGACTTATAGGCAGCTACCTGTGGATTTGTCATCTCCCTTGCTTTGTTCTCTTGCTCGCAAGGGGTATGGCATGGTGTGTGTGCCTTGGTTTGTCCTCTACATACATGGTCGCTGCTGCCTGCTCGCTGGATCTTGGTCATATTTATGTCTTTCTCACGTACAAGCGCGGCGGCGCCGCTATCTATTCTGAATTCTGATCCATCCATCCTCTCTTTCGTTTGTCTTTTAGATCCGCCCGCAAGACGCCGGGAGCAAGCAAGGAACGTACGTACACGCCGTGTCGTCGTCGGCTTGTGCTCTCTAGACTGGGTTGGACAGGCTTGGACTGGTCGGTGTGTGGCGGCGCTCAACGACGACAAACAAGCAATTGGAGGAAGCTGTTAGCTAATCTTGTTTTGTTCCGATCCATCCATGGCCGCCGCGTCCTCCGCTCCCTTCTTCGGCCTCTCCGACGCGCAGATGCAGCCGCTGATGCCCGCGCAGCAGCCCCCCGCCCCCGCCGCCGCCGCGCCGGCGCCCAAGAAGAAGCGCAACCAGCCGGGCAACCCAAGTGAGTAATTAATCCGTCCAGCTATTCCTTTACCAATCTTAATTCTACTAGCAAGTGATTATTAATTGAGTATCGTCGGTCTCCCTGTATTGATGCAGATCCTGACGCGGAGGTGATCGCGCTGTCGCCGCGGTCCCTGATGGCGACGAACCGGTTCGTGTGCGAGGTGTGCGGCAAGGGGTTCCAGCGGGAGCAGAACCTGCAGCTGCACCGTCGCGGCCACAACCTGCCGTGGAAGCTGAAGCAGAAGAACCCCAAGGAGACGCGGCGGCGGGTGTACCTGTGCCCGGAGCCGACGTGCGTGCACCACGACCCGGCGCGCGCGCTGGGCGACCTCACCGGCATCAAGAAGCACTACTGCCGCAAGCACGGCGAGAAGAAGTGGAAGTGCGACAAGTGCGCCAAGCGCTACGCCGTGCAGTCGGACTGGAAGGCCCACTCCAAGACCTGCGGCACCCGCGAGTACCGCTGCGACTGCGGCACCCTCTTCTCCAGGTATACATACCATGCACGCCATTGATCCATCCGTCCAAGATCGATGTTTCAGTTCATTTTCGGTTTCATATAGGCGTATGCTTATAGTACTGTTTGCTGTTCGATTTTGGGTATGCATGAGCGAATGATTGGGTCATGATGAAACTTTGATGGGGAGCTAGCTAGGCTGCTAGGGGCGATTCGATTTGACGGGTGGTGACGGATGGATGGGATGCTGCCCCTAGGTAGCTGCCTAGGGTTAGGGCTGTTACTGCTGGTACTACGTGCCCACCTAGCTAGGTACATGGGCTCTCGTGTAGTGTGAGTATGTGTGTGCGCGCCACTTTTGGCTGGGTTGGATTGGAATTGGATTCCCTGCACAGAGAGAGAGGGAGGGAGAGAGAGAGAGAGAGAGAATGGAAGGGGATGGATGGAGGATGCAGCTAGAGGTAGCAGTCGACCTGCTGCAGCTAGCGGGCTCTGCTCTGCTCCCACGTGAATCGCTCTTGTCGGGAGGGGACTGGAGATATGCAGCCAGGACGCACCCTGACACGGTCATCTGGCGGCAGTCCCGCCTTTTTACACCTCGGAATCCGCACTCTTCCCACTCTCTCTCATCTGCATCGACCTGGCATGGATCCCCACATGTATGTTCACGTGATGACATACATGCTGCCGGCACGCACTCCTCCTTGCAGCTAGCTAACCAAAGGGGGTCCAGCCTCAGCCATGGCAGCACGCAGCCTTCCTTGCCTTCTCATGTGATGCATGGCAACTGGCAAAGTCATGCCAAGTACTGCTGCTGGCTGGCCATGCCTAACATGCTTTTAGCTCGCTTGCAATCAGCACCATCCGATGGATGGATTAGCCACAAAGCCTGCTGCTGCGGCTTTTTCTTGATGCATGTCATCTACATGTCGGTGTTGTCTTACATGTAACTGATTGCACTATAGTTAGGGTGAATGGGTGATGCATACTCCCTCCGTCCCGAAATATTTGTTGAAGAAATGGATCAAAATAGATGTATTTAGAACTAAAATACGTCTAGATACGTCCATTTCTATAACAAGTGTTTCCGGACGAAGGGAGTATTTTTGTCATGCAACTTTGGCTAGTTTTACCTCATTTTGCAGCTTAGTCTTTTTTTTCTTACAAAATAAAGCATTGTGCCATCTATAGCTTAATCTGCTCCATCGAATCGGCTCGGAATATTCCTCAAAAATCATCGGTCAGAATTAATTGCCAGCTAGCATTCCCTGCACTAACGAATGAAACGACAATCTATCATAGATGCACCCAGCAAAGGATTGCAATGTACCCAACTGCCATAATAAATCGGCACATTTACCAGCAACTTCGCGTAATATGCAAACAAGTA